TCCTTTGGGCAGGCTCTTGCATGTCTTTTCTATTAGCAAGAGAAATAAGGCTACCCTGGATGTAAAAGACAGATCTGCTCATCTAAATATACTGATTTATTTGTTTTATGCTGCATGCTATGGTTTTCCATTGAGTTACTCCTCAAGGAAATAAAATAGTGTTTGAAATGTATTTCATTGGGTGAATAATCCTTTGTGGATTTGTGGGAGATGTGTCTCTGTCAGCGTATCAGTGTCAACCCGTGCTTTTGGTATTTGTACAGGATGACTGTCGGGAGTTTCGGGATCTGTTCAAGAAAGGGAAACTTTCCTGCACCAGGGAAAATGACCCTGTCCGGGATGCCTCTGGGAAGCAGCACAGCAATAAGTGCATCATGTGTGCAGAGAAGTTGTGAGTAACAAAAAAGAATCACTTGCCCCTCCTGCGGCTGATGAAGGGGAAAACCTCTCCTCCCTGGAGCACCCTGGTATTCACTTTCTCATCTTCCTTCTCTTCCAGCAAAAGGGAGAATGAGCGGAAGTTATCTAAAAACAGACAAGGAAAAGATAAGGTGAGATTAAAGTATTAGGCAGGTCAATATAGAACTTTATTGGATTTCCACCCGAGACAGACAAAAGGCAATGTTATTCTATGCAGTTGCTCGGTCTCCTCTGACTTAATTTTGAGATCCACTTTCCTTTCCCTCCCTATTTATTATTCATGCTCTTGAATCCCTCAAGTAAACAACTTGTGCCTGAATGTCATGGTCTGTCCCACTGACCTGTGGATCTAGGTACAGGCAAACCCCAACAGAGTAGGAAACCAGCTGTGCTGTACTGTCCTAAATCAGAGGGTGGAGACGTCAGTGCTGCTGACGGTGCTAATTAGGAGAAAAAGAAAAATGTGTGGAAAACTGAATCTGAACTCTGCACATCTTAAGAGATCATTGTGTTCTGGGAGGAAAGCTTAGCCTTGTGTTATCTCCAGGCCTGTTGTTCCGTTTTAGCTTTTTTTATTGGAAACTTTGTTCTCATGGAGCTGCCATTCACCACCTTTTCCCTGGCATGCTGCAGCCACCATGTCCCTGTGCCCTGATGCTTTGGTGGGAAAAACAGCTCTGTAAGGGTGGAAAATAGTCGCTTTCCAATCCTTACCTCTTGATTCCTGCTATAGTAGGGACTGGTGCGGTCCCCTTAAGCTTCAGTCTTGGGGATAATCCTGTTTTAGTGTTTTTCTAATGATTTTGGCACCAAAAAATAGAAGTATAAGTGAAATTTGCTTGGGGTAAAGCTGGGAGGCAGTATCAGCAGAAAAGGATCAGCAGATCACTCAAGACTAATTGGATACCACTGAGGCCTGGAGTAATAGAAACGAGATAAAATGTAATGGCACTGCAAGATCACACAGTCAGTGATTAATAAGAATTCATACTCATTGGTTAAAAGTGACAGAGGATAAGAAAGCTCTGCATTTATTAGTGGGTCAGGGATGCGACAAGCCACGAAAAAGGCAAATGCACAACTCAGATGGACTCAGTGAGATTTTTGCAGCAGAGGTCGAGAAGTTAACAGGGCTCCAGAAATACTGGTTCAAAGGGAGAGCGTTTGAGAGAGGCTGTTGGGGAAGGCAGATTTGTCTTGAAGGCTGAGAATTGGGCTGCTGAGCTGGGCTGGCCCAAGGGAACAAGAAAAGGAGGGGCTGGGAGAGCTTTCCTGGGCTAGTCATGGAGCAAAAGCATTGCCTGAACTGTTCAGGGGTGTGAGCACATGCTGGTGGTGGGGAAGAAACAGCGAGGCTTTTGGGGAGCTCCTCTGAAGTGAGTGCAGTACTTATTTGTGGTGGGAGTAATGCACTGTGACTGCTGAGCACAGCAGGAAGCAGGCTCATCCTGCACCGGATCATCTCTCCTACCCATGACTAGTATGGCTCTAGGAAAACTTGGGGTTTTGCACTCAGAGTGGTTTGCCAGTGTTAGTGCCATGGGAAAGCTGAGGAGATGGAGGCTGAGATGCTCTGGATGGGATGAGGGACAACACTGGGGAAATCTGCTGCCAGAGAGGAGGAGGTGCTATAAGGTTCTGAGCAAAGCAAAGAATGAGGCCAGTGACCTGCTAGGGACCTTCATACAAGCTATCAAAAACCCTGTGAACAAAAAGGGCAGAAAATTACCTCTTTTGTAAAAAGAAAAGAGTAAGTGAAATTCAGTTACTTACCCTCTGTACTTGCTGTTTGGAACTGGCTATTGCAGTGTGTGAAATGGTTGAAATTAGGGAGGCCGAATGTTTCCATCCATGTTACATAACAGGGGCAAGTTAACAGTTTCTGTGCAGCAATTTTGAACAAGGAACAAATTAATGATCTACTCTCCAAACAACCTGCCTCTGCCTGTGGACTATTAAGTATGTTTGCATTGTGCTTTTATGTTTTAACTGCTTCTTCTATATTGACTTTGATCCCAAAGTGTGGCTGATTTGGAGGACACTACTCTCTTTGTAAAGAAAATTATCTGAGCTACTGTCTGGGAAAAGGCTGTAGCTGTGTATTAAGGATGTTGGGAGAAGAGGGAGTGACTTATCACCGTATTGGTCACATCACTGGCATGCTTTGGATAGCCCAATGAGGAGAATAATAATTAGTTGGACCATACTAGAGAACTCCCCAACACGTGCTGTGCAGGCAGAAGGATCTGGAATTTTTCTGACTCACTCCTCTGTTTATATGCTAAGTGGCTGGTGCTGCACACCCTCTTCTCTCACCCCCACCCAGACTCTCCCGGGATGCATTTGTGATGGTTCAATGCTTTCCTGGCAGGGAACCCCAAGTTCCCAAGGGTCAGGTCAATAAGACAAGGAGGACAGGGTGCTCTAAACTGCTGCCCTCCTTCTGCAGGATGACTGCAGTGAGTTTCGCTCCCAGTTTGAAGCTGGTGGACGACTGTCCTGCACGAGGGAGAATGACCCTGTCCGGGATGCCTCTGGCAAGCAGCACACCAACAAATGTCTCATGTGTGCCGACAAGTTGTGAGTACAGCTTCCTCTGAGCAACAATAGCAAAGGGGAAAAGCCTCCAGCTGCAGAACTGCAGCTTTTGCTTGTGAAGCTGCATCTGGGCAATGCCTGGGAGAGTCCTGACTCCCAGTGGCCCTCCAGGAGATGCTCTGACAGTAGGGCTGCAGCCATTGCCCCTCTTCCTGCTTCCCTTTCAGCGCTAAGGGCCCAGGGGCAGGTGAGAAGCAGTGTGGAGTAGAGGAGGAGAAACAAGTTTGACAGAGAGCAGTCTCTTTCCCAGGGGACTGTTGGGCATGGGCAGCTCCTGAGGAGTTTCCCATGCATGTACTTTGCCTTCCAGATGCTCTCTCTCTACTCCCATAGAGCATATGCAGAAGCAGCCCTGATATGAAAGCAGCCACCTGGATCCAGGATGTAGCATACAGTGGGAATGGTGAGGAGAAGGGAGAAGGCTTAGAGGTGGGAATTAGGAACAGGACCACCAGGAACAGGGACTGTGGATGGGGAGGTGGTGCCTAACGGCATGATGCTGGCTTACAGGGCAGCCCTGGGTGCCGGTGGCACTCATGCTGCCATAGCACTACCTTTTTTCTCCTCTTCCCTTCTTCCAGCAAAAAGGAAGCTCAAAGAGGAGGTCAGTCTGGTGGAACTGGCCAGCGTAACAGATTGCCCACTTCAGAGAGGACAAACCAGGTGAGATGGAGCTTGGAGCCTATATTGAGCTCAGTGAAAGAGTCTGTGGGATCTGGGTGGCCAGGGACTGCCTGTGGTCATCTTGGGGGTAATCAGGGTGCTTAGGGTGCTGTAGCCAGTGAGTGATGGGGGAGATGCAGATTATATTGCAAAGCCTCACTCATTTGTGGGATGGTGTAAACATACAAACTGGACATGTTTGGACCTGAAAGAACAGCCCCTCACTTTCCCAGTGATGCTATATGAGAGATAAAGGACAGGTCCAGACTCTCCACAATCCTGTAAGCCATCGGATGGCATCATTTGGTGGGTTTGGAGCATATCAAACCTGCTTCTCTAATTACAGCACTATAATTCTCTAGGTCTGGGAGGAGGAGGGGGGGAGGGCAGGAGCTGCTTTAACTTTGTCACTTCTCTAGTTGTATAAAAGTTGTTTCTGTGATTGTTGAATGTGACCCTTCCCCTTTTGCAGAAGAACTGTGGTGGTTCACGGCAGGGTGTAAATGAGAGACGCCCCTTCTCAACGGGCCGAGGGTGAGTTCAGCAGCACTTGGGTTGGCAGCCTGTCCTTCCCTACATACTACAAGCCCTGGCACTGGTTTCTACCCCCTTCCACCTACATGTATTTTCCTAGGGATGGTCAGGAGGTTTATTGGAGCAGGAGTGTTTTGGCAGCACACAAGCAGCACTGTCTGTGATGGAGAAGTCCATGTTGTTCTGTTTGGTGCTCAGTACAGCATGTCTTTGCACTGGCTAAGCTGGTGATGGGAAAGAGGCATAGTGGGGCATGTTTCTCATGCAACCCTTACTCCTTTTTGGCCTTGACTTTATGTACTAAGCACCAGTGATTGCTGTGTTCAGAATCCCTCTCAGGACGCTTTGTCCAGCAAACCCTGACTCCTGGCAGTGCACCCGTGGGTTAGCCCTGGCTCATCCTCATCCCCTGGCTCAGAGGTAGTGCCTGATGTATCACGTGCTTTCTGGGCACTGGTCAGGCACTCCTGTTTGTTTTATAGCTGCTGGACCTGAGCAGGACTCAGCTGCTGCTTTTTCAGAGCCTTTTCTGGGGAACACTGAGATTTCTTGCTTTTGGCTGGTGCAATTCCTCAGTCCCCCTTCTACCAAGTGATGCCAGCACACACGGGGGTGCAGAGCCCTGGGGTGGAGGTACACTTGGGCTGAGCACAGGGCAAAGTTGTCCTGCTGTTTGTTGCCTCCCTGATAGAATGTGCCCTCTCCTATCCCCGTGAGCAGGTGGATGTCATAGTGCAAATGGCTCTCAGAGCTGTGGGGGTCTGTGGGGAGGGTGGGTTTGCACTGTGCTCCCTCTGTTTGGGAGGATGGTGTGATGAACAGTGTCTTTGATCTCTCTGCCAGCCCACAACGAAACACAGCTCAGCGTGGCAGGAACTGCAACCGGTCACTGGGCCGCAAGTCACAGAGCAGAGACACCGATGAGTCCCAGATGGTAAAGCCACCTCCTGCACCTTGGATGGCAGCTGTATGGGCAGAAATGGGGACCTCTCCCACAGGGGGCTTCTCTGCCAGTGCTAAGCCCCCCCCTGCTCCTTTCCCAGCAGATGCTCCTGTTCTTGCTGTAACCCTAAAGCTTCTCACTTGGCCCTGTGTCCTTGGAAGGGTTTGAATGAGTGAAAGTATCTGTACTCTGATGCCAGTCCCTGTATCACCCGGCACTGAAGCAGAGGGAAGGGCTTGGCTCCTTATGGGAGTACATCAGCTATGGGGGTGCTGGTTTTGAACTCAGGCTGGATGCCTGCCCCACATGTAGCCAAATTGGGTTGAGAAGTGCCACCTCCCCCCTCCCCTCCCTCGTGTTGAGAAGATGCTGAGGTAAAGGCCGTGGCCAGAACAGGGTTATGGAGCTGACCAGGGCATGAGGACAAGGTTGGGCAGGAGGAGGGAGTGCTAAAGGGGGAAACACTGAGCGGTAGATGACAAGTGTGTATGGAATAATGTGGGAGGAAGGTGGGGGTGTCTGCTCTCCCTTCTCATGAAAGAAAATGGAATAGTTCCAGCAAAGCTAAAAGTGGAAAATATGAACTAATAAGAGAAAATAAGTTACCGCAAAAAGAGTGACTAAACTGTGGATCTCACTGTCACAGGGTGTTGTCAAGAGGTAGGATGGTTAAAAAAAAATTACCTGATGTTTTAATTCCTCTAGCATTTGCATACAGTAATTTAAATAACATTTTGGAAAGGATAGGAAGTGTATTTCCATGCGTGGAGAGACCTTACTACCAATTGCCTTTATTCTCCCTGAAGCCTCTGTCACTGACCGCTTTTAGAAAAGGGATATTTGAGTTAAAAACCCAGTAGGTAGTTCAGGTACAGCAATTTTAATGCATTCCAGAGGAAGCATTAGGTGTAATAAGGCCAGTCTGCTTCAGGGCTTAGTGGTATTTCCTGGTAGCACTGGAGGGGGAGTGGATGCCGATGAGCCTGACCAACAAGAGGTGATTCAGAGAGCAGATCTGCTCCTCTCCTCTTTCCAGGGCCACCTGTGGGTTTTGTCACACAATTCTCCAGAGCCAAAGGAGTGGTGGCACTGGCTGCTGGCACCTGTGATATGTGGGGCTGCTGGTGGGGTGGCCACCTGTCCTGGGCAGAGGTGCAGGCAGCACTGTCTGGTGCGTAGGAAGGCATTGAGCAGAGGATTGCAAAGGTCAGCATTGTCTGCTTTCACAGCACCAATAATTACCCAGGTGAGGGAGGAAGCAGCACATTACTGAAATTAGCAAGTGATGTTTAACCAACAGGTGCTATCACAGCACCCCAACATCACTGAAACCCCCCTACAGCACCTGGTACGAAATCTTCCTTCCCTGTAGTGCTTCCCACCCTGTAGGGCTATTGATAAACCATCATTTTTGAGCTAAATGCTGCATCTCAAGGTGGAATGGGAAGTGGAATACCCTCTCAGTCCCACTGTACCATTTGCAGTCGTAGCAACATATTTTGTAGCACCTGGAGATGGGGTTGGGAGCCCATTAGTCACTTTTTCATCTCGGTCTTTTCTTGATGCCTGGAGCAGCGGTGGGTGGCGGAGCTGAGGAAGGGGCTGTGTGTACCAGGGAACAGGGTGTGCTATCCCTGACCTCTGCTGTTGGAAATCTGCTATGACTCTGCAAACACCCGCCCCGCTCTGCTGGTAGGGTGTGAGAGGCTTTTTGGGGGTCTCCAAAGGTCAATCCTTGTGCTGTGAGTTTGTCCTGGCTGTGCCACGTGTGGTTTGTAAGGAAAACTGTGCCTAAATGTTCCCGTTGCCATGCTCGAGAGGAAACAAGAGGGCACCCCTCATTAGTCATAGCTGCTCAGATATGCTCATGTCTGTCGACGCAGTGGGTGGCAGAAGTTGTGCTGCGTGTCGCACCGCCCTCGGGCAGCGCCAGTCTGCTGGAGACGTCTTTTGGCCAATGGGCTTCGTCTTCGTTCTTGGAGATGAAATGGCATCAAAGCCCTGATAAGGAGGGCTAAGAACAGGTAGCAGAAGTTTGTCTTCTTGTGGATCCACAGTGAGAGAAATAAACCCGCTCAAGACCATGGTGTTGAGGTGGATTAGATGAGTGGGGCGTGAGGGCTCTGTTCCCAAAAGCTTGACTGGCTGGTCCAGGAAGAGACACAATCTCTTTCCAAGTCCGTCCTGGCTGGAAGTGTGATGGACATGCTAAAGGGCAGAGGGGCCCCATGCAGGGCTTGGTTTATGAGCACTTTTAAGTCATGTAAAGAAGGGTCTTACAAGTCAACCAGCACCAAATGTGATTTCTTTGTCTCTTCAGCTGGACTGTGATCGAATTCTGCACGGGGTAAAGGGTGGAAGGATTTTCTGCAGCGAATCCTCACAACCAGTCTGTGGCACTGATGGGAAAACATACAAAAATGAATGTGACTTGTGTTCAGCTGCCATGTGAGTAGGCGGAGAGATTTCACTAATACAGGGCCATCCACCATTCCCGAGTGTCTTTTGCAGAACAGTGTTTGTTTTGATACATCATGACTCACTATCAAGTGTGTCCTCAGTGCTTTGCTGTTAAGCAAACATAGATCAAAATGCCTGAGATTAATCTGATGACAGCTAATTAAGATACACAAGTTGCCAGGGTCCCCTATTCCCTTTCTGCCCAATCACAGATTGTTTGGGGAGTAATAAATGCCACCATAAGCATCAAAGCATTAAGGAGTCCACAGAGGACTGTCACACTGATGGCAGAGAGAGCTGTGGCATTGCAAGTGAATAATAAGCAATGTCTTGTCCTCCCTTTGCAGGAGAGCTTCAAACTTCATCACGTTAAACTATCAAGGCGAGTGCCGAGAGCCTGCCCCTGAATTGGTAAGCGGCACACCAAGGCTGGGCTGTGAACATCAATCTTTTCCCTTCCTCTGGTGAAACTCCCCTTTTGGCACAGTCTCAGCCTGTGGGGATCAAATCCAGGCAGCCACAGTGGGGAGTGAGGAATGAGAAGTAGCTGGCACTTTGTCACAAACTGCCCACTGTGCCCTTCAGCAGTAGCTGGGGGGTCTACACTTAGACCCTACTGGCAGGTTAACTGGGTTAACTTTTCGTTCAATTAACAGTGGGATAATTAAAACCATGCTCTGCAGCTGCTCTTCAGCCACATTTGTTGGGAGGGAAGAGAGGTATTGGGGTCCCCATCTCTCTTCCTTTGTTTTTCTGGATGGGAATGTTGCTGAGGTGTGGAGGAAAAAGTGCCTCTTGCTGTGTGTAGTATCCCATTTTTCACTCCAAGTGCCTGCTGGGGAGCCAACCTGGCCTCTGCCATCTGTGGCAGGATCGTTAGAGCCCCAGGAATGGATGTTCATGGTCCAGATATTTATATACAGGTTGAGACTTAGATTTAATATATAACCTGTGCATAGTCTCTGTTTTGCTTAGGGTGTATGGTAGGAGAGTGATGGGAAAATGCCTGACTTTCCTCCTGGGACTTTGGTTTGGCCAGGAAGACCACAACTGTGTAAACTACAAATGGCTCCTTCCCTAAATAATATCCAGGTAGATGGTTGGGAAATCAAAATTATTCACTAGGTGGCATACTTTCTGGAAAGGTCTTGACATCTTGTGCAATCCCACATAGCAGATGAGTTAAACATTTCTCAGTTGTGCTTTGTCTTTCTACCAGTGGAAGCTTGACAGTCTCCAGCGTTTGGATTTGCAGCCAGTGTCTCCCAGTTTGTGTCTCTTGAGTTCACAGGCTGTCCTGTGGCACCCAGGAACAACTGTCCTCATTGGCATGAACTCTTTGGAAACTGAATATTTGTACCAAGGGAAATAGGTCACCTAAACCTGTAGGTGATCCAAATATTGAACCTGTAAAAGAGAAGTTCTGTAAAGTTTTGGATGGAGCTTTGACTTCTGAATAAGAATGTGGTATCCATGGGTTTGTAGGCAATAAGGAGCTATGAGATATGAGAGCAGTCATGCCATGCCTTCCTTTGCTCAGTGACAGGATGCCCCCAGATCCCCAAGACACTAAAACTAAACATCCTGGCTCTTTTTCTCCTCTTCTGTAAAGCAGAAGGGTGCTCTAAACTTTGTTTCATTGAAGAAATTGTAGTGCGGAGAGAAAGAATTTTGCCTGTGATGGTACTGGAGGCCTTCGTGTCTTGATTTTTAGTGAGAGGGAACCACTGTTGGCTTGTGAATTCTGGGGGCACAGGAAGACCAGGCAGTATGGGAGTCTGCTCGTGACTGTGCTCACACTGCCCGAGACAGAATAAGACTGGGTACACTGTGGCAACAGAAAAGTAGAGAGGATTCCTACAAAACTGTGCCTGATCTGGAATTCCTTACTGTTTCATGTTTTACCAAGCTGTTACAGCTCTCAAGCCATTGCAATTAAAGGGGGATGCCATTTACTGAAAGTCACAGCTTGTAGCTCTGTTAAGTACTCCAAGGAGAGTTGGATGCAATTAAAAGGGAAAGTGATAAGCTTTTTCTGAGGGGTAAGAAAAGTTACACAAAAACCCCCATGCACAATGATTTATTCTTAGGTTTTTTTTATGTCACCTGAAGGATCAGAATGAAAATTTATGGGAGCTTATAAACAATGTACAGAGCAAAGTTATTTTCAGCACTGAAATTCATGCTCACTTTCAGTATAATGAATTTTTCTTTCTGCTGAAGACTCAGGCACTGAATATACGCTACTAAAACCTGGAGGAAACCAGCTTCCAGCAGTGCTTTTGGCATCAGAAATAGATTTAGAGAGTTGGAATGTGCAGAATATGAAATGCTTTGGAGGAAGATAAGAAATTGTTACCCAAAAAATGTAATATTTCCTTGAGTTGTATTTTTAATATATCCATAGAGAGTGCTGGGTTGCCTGAGAAAATGTGTGTTCAAGCTGCCTCATCCCTTTGCCTGCATCCACTCCTGCCTGCAAAGCTGCAGCTGGATTTCCATGTGTTTCTGACAGCTCTGGTAACCTGATGGCCATCAGGGAAGGATGCTTGTAGGAAGGGATGGGAGCAATGTGGTTTGATAGAGATCTGATACTAAAGGGTGTTTCTGTGCACGGCTGAGGTAGAAAACCTTGCTGCAGAGTCAGCCTGTCCCCACTGGCCAGCGTTGGGTCTTGCCACCTTGCCTGGTCTGTGCTTTAACTGAATTCCTTTGATCCTGTTCTGCTTTACTGATGGGAAATGTAGGTCGGCATCCTGGGTTTAGATATCTTTTTTTTTGTAAGTTAACTGGCTGGTACGTCCTGCAGTGCCGTGTTACATGGATGAATTGATTGTGGGTCTTTCCAGCACATCTGACTTTTAATGCTGCATATCTCACAGTTTAAAGGTTTTTCCACAGATAACCCAGGCCGTAGTCACCAGTCTGCCCACATTAGTCAATAAATCAGGGAAAAAAGGGGATACCCAGTTTCTCCTTTTTTTTATTTTTTAAACCTGTTTCTTAACAAGTAGAAAACTCCTAGATGAGCAAGTCCCAGTTTCCTTACAAGGCTCTCTGTTTTGCCATGCTGCTTTTTGAGGTGGCAAAATAAGAAAAGACGAAAAGCAGGACCTTTCCCAGTTAGAAAATAGGTGTGGAAAGCACTTAGCTTCAGGCTGAAATTAGTCTTGTTTTCCTCAGCTGGCAGCAGCCCAATCTGCCTGTCCTTGTGCCAGGCTCTGCTGCAGTTATCTCATGTGGGCATTGAGTTGGCCTTGAGGGGCTGTCACACTGATACCAGTGTCACACAGCAGTGGTCAAGTGGACTTATTTTTTGCTCTTCCTTTCCAGGAGTAATGGAGTTCTGTCTGCCAGCAAACACCAGGGATCACCTGTGACCAAAGGTACGGAGAGAGGGGCAGTGACTTACTCCTGCTTGGCCAGCCTGTCCTTTGGGGGCTGTGTTTCACAAGGGTTGGAGTGTCCTACCTTGCTGGACAAGCAGCAGGGCTGGGACAGATGGCTTTGCAGAATTCCTCCTCTCACTGCAGATGTGGGATGACGGGGCTGAGTCTGTGGGAACTTGCAGTAGTGGGCTCTGCCCACTCCTTTTCCTCTGGCTCTGTTTTTCCCAGCCAGGCTGTCCCTGCAGAGCGGGGAGAATGTTGGCAGAGCAGCGTGCTGCTGTCTCCCATCACAGAGAGGCAGGCTGGCCCAGAACCCCTGCAGAGCTTTGGGGCAGCTTCGGTGTTTCCTCATGGTTCTTTCACATCCCTTTGCCTTCTGGGACTATAGTAATGAACTGTCTGCCCTCTGTCTCCACAGGGCAAGTAAAGGAAGAGTCGATGTTGATCATCAGGGGAGCTGCCAAGTCCCCAGGACTGCCAGAGCTGCCTTCAACCCCTTCTGCAGCAAACGGGGCCCGTCCTTGCTCAGGTGGAGGGCGAAAGGCTGTGGGGACTCCGTGGTGTCTTCCCAGGTCTGCCCTGTGCATGCCGTTGCAGTCTCTGCCGCCTCGCTGTGTCTTAACGTGCTTCTACAATAAAGATAACTCACCAGCTTCATGTCACTTTTCTTCACTAAGCCTTATGGGAGGGGCACAAGAGTCCCCACTCCGGCTTTACACCACGTGCTCCTTAGGCAATAAGCACCCAGAGGTGCACCAGCTGCTGTAAATACCTGGCGAAGATGTTGGACCCAAGGAGGAAGAGCGTGGTCCAGGGTTTTGTGAGGAGGGACCAGGGGTCAGGTTCCCTCTGACTCATTACGGGGTCTTGGGCCAATCACTTCACTGCCCTATCAGCCCTTTTCTCCTGCCTGTAAAACAAACATTAAAAGATACTTACCTACCTCAGAGGGTTGTTTGAGATTTAATTGGTTTACATTTGGAAAGTTACAAGGAAAAATTGGTTTTAAAGCACCCTGTCTCTGGGCTGGCAGTTTAGTTGTTGCAGTGAATGTCCTCTTCCAGGCTTCTCATCTAAGGCACTGGGAAATCCAGACCACTTTGTTTTGAGCAATAGTGGGAAGTAGATAGATCTTGAGTGGTCATGTCAGATGGTGTGCTGAGCCCTGCCCCACCAAAGCTGGAGCTGGGGGCACATCCAGGCAGAATCTGAAGGTGTGAATTTGGCCAGCAGTATTTCTTGCTGTGAGAGGGCAGAACCACTGATGGCACCCTCGAGGCACCACAGAAAGCTGTGCTTTCTGTGATGGCCCATGGACTGTCACTGTCTGGTTCACCTTCTGCCTTGGCCTGAGCTTCCCTGTGGGCTCAAGGGCTCAGCCAGTGCCCATCTTTAGGTCCATCTCCTGCAGGGAGAGAAGGCTCCTTCCTTTGGGGCCCTGGTGCTGGGGCAGATGCAGAAGTGAGAATTTCCATGGCATGAAATGGCTTAAGGTTTTTAAGGAAAGGTATTGTTGTTTTGAGGTGTAACTGACTTACAGACAGTTCTAGTTAATTTATATTCTGAAACTATGCTAAGATAAAACCAGGCTTTTGAGTTAAGAGTTTCCCTGGCTTTTTGGGGTCAGTGAATCTGGGAATAGGGTGGTATGCAAAGCAGGAGACACCGATGGTGGGTTAACAGAACTCTGCTGGCGGTTTGCACGTACCTCCTGTACTTTCTTTTATAGCTGTTACTTAAAGCAAATATGTTCTTTATTTGTATAAACTTTATTTCAGGACATTTCCAGAAGACCTTGATTGAACATACACGGTGTTTGAGTCCATTTAGACCTGATCTGTAAACACTTTCTCTTGCAGATAAGGCTGGAATGTCTTTCTTTCACAGTCACTTGATTTTTCTTTCAATTTTTACAGGATTTTACCTAATACCAATTAATTTCACTCCCACCAAAGACGTAGAATTTTTTCAATTAAGTTATCAAATCCTTTTTCTCTACTGCAGGTAATGAGAATTGATTTTAAACTCTCAAAATGCTTACGTATTGCATCACATTTTATTATAACTGATAATAATAAAACCTGATTTTATTATCAACAGACTCTGACATAAGTGGTTGTTAGTATTTTTTATACTGATTTCTAATGTGAGCAAACACTATGGTTTAGAAATTATGACTGCCTCTTTCTAAGTGGAAAATCCCCTCAGTAAGTAGAGTCATGTAGGGTGAGAGTCCCCCATTTGGGACTGGTTAGCTGTTTTGGGGAATGTAGAGTTTGTCTTAGAGCTGTGACGAAACAAGTACATTCTTGAATGTTATTTATGCAGCCTGAGAATGATGAATGTCAGACAGTAAAAATGTGCTCTGATGATGTCTGCTCGCTGATTCCAGCTAAAATCACGTGCAGGGACATCTACATGATTTTATAAAAGCAGTGCACAATTTGTGGCTTAAAATAAATTCTTGCAAATGAAAATCAGTGCTCTTGAAAGCTACTATGATTTGTAGTGATTTCAAGTATTTAAGTTTTCAAATAATGACCCCTAAAACCTGCATTAAATGTGCTTGAAAAGCAATGAGCTGATGAAGCCAGTGCCCCAGTAACCTCTTCTGTCAGTATTTGAGCACCTTCTAAATTTTTCCTGCTGCCAGAAGAAATTATCATCCACAAAAATCGCAGCTGGTGATAAGGGATCATTAATCAGATTCCAAGCCTGTCTGGTGAGAAGATGCAGGACAGAGACCTGCTAAAACTGCCTCTGTTGCTGTGAGCAGCAATACCAGCTCCATCCTGCTCCTGGCAGCCTTCTTGCTTGCTCTGTTCTTGCTTTCCACCCCTTTTTGCAGGTTGCTCCAAGGGCTGCTAGTGAGGAACAGTCCTGAGTGGCACCATGTGTGGTGGAGCTCCGGTGGGGTCTGCATGACGGAAGCCACGCGTTGTTACTCCAGGGGAGAAGGAAGCAAAGGCTCATGAGGTGTTGGGGGTTTGCTACCCTTTCTTTTATGTTTGCTCTTTCTTACCCTTTGTGTTGCCCTTTAAAACTGTAACAAGGCCAAACCATCCCTCTGTGAAACTGGAAAGGTACCAGCGCTCTGGGGACTCTTCAGTTTGCTGTAAATTACACTTTATTAAGGGTGTTGCTTGCCAATAACCACAGACCCCATGTGGTTCACAGCAGTTCCTGAGGTTTTGCAGAACTGGCATTATGAACTGACAGTGTGGTCTCCAGCCTCTCACTGTGGTTGGGTTTTGGGCTAAAATACTCTCTGCAAGGACCTTAAGTCTCTTACTTATTTTTTCTTTTTTTCATAGAAGGTGTCAGGACCTTATGCAATTCTTCAGGGTGTACAAGTACTGCTCTTGTATACAGTGAGGACTGTTGACTCTGGCAGATGTTTCAGCAGACTTTGAACTCACTGTGGTGTTTTTCAGTCCTCTGCAGTCTGTCCATTTGAAGCCTGGAAGCTCTGCCCACCTACTCCCTGCTGCTCTTGCAGCCACAGAGATAGAGAGCCCTGGCATGGCCCCATGGTGTGCTCTGGCCAGGGCACCTTCTGCAGTTTGCCACAGCAGTTTAGGGGCATTTATTCCTTCAAGAACCAAGTGAGTTGTGACATGAAGAGACTGGTGCTGTTTGTGCTGGCAAGCCCCTCTGGCAGACCTCTCTTTTCTGGCTCTCCCTACATTCCTGTGATGCTCAATCCCACTACACAACAGCTGTATATGGGTAACTGGGGATTTCAGTGTTGTCTTGATTATCACAATTTCTGCTCCATGGCCCATCTGCTTTCACACTGGAGACTGGTGAATGGGCCTCCCTCTTTCCCCTCTTTAGGGCTCCTGTTTGGCATCTGTTAGAATATCTGTCTTTTCCTGCAAGACTCTCCCTACTACAGGGAACTCTCATCCATGCCATTTTCTTGGGATCTCCCTGCTCCATTCTGCTGCAAGACCCCTCCTGCTGCCCAGCTATCCCCCTGGAACTGCAAGACAAGCACTTTCAACACTCATTTGCATGAAGGTGTGAGCAACTCCACTTAAGTTGTTCACTGAAAACAAGATGTAAATGCAACTGTTTGCAATTTAAAAATTCAGGTCCTTGATGTAGAAGGTCCCAAAACAAACAGTTTAGTGCTTGGTGTAGTAACAACTGCCCGTGTGGTTTGAGAATGGGAAGCATGGACAATATGCATATATCTCTGACAAACAGGTGAGTTGGCTTTATTGTCTTCTTGCCTCCTTTCCCAGCCTGTGTCAGTGAAATTCTGCAGAAATAGTGACAGATGTTTCACAGCTGGGACTAGAGGTAACCTGAGAGGCAGCAGAAGAGAGGAGTGGAGTGCACATGTCCAGGACTGCTCGGCCAGGTGGGATTTGCAGCAAGGGAAAATAAGCAAGTAGATGTCAACACAGCATCACTGCAAGTGGGGATTGCGCAAGCAGAAGGGTGTAAACACAACCAAATGTCTTCCTGTCCCATGTGGGTGGGATGTGCTGCTGCAGCTTCTGCTCTGGTCTTGAAAGGCTCTGTCCTGATGGACAAATGCTTTGCTGAATCACTCTCTCTGAAGCAGGGGCTCGCTTGTAGGGTCACAGCATGGACCTTCCTTGTGCACAGGGCCAGGAGCCCAAAGCTGAGCATTGTGTGCCTGGGCTGGCACATGGGACAGCAGACACGTGCTGTAGCTGTGGTGATGTTTTTTAAATCCTAGTTCCTTCTTTATATCCTTGACAGGTGTTTGCTCTTCTGTCTCTTTACTCTGTCTCCTATTACAAACTACTTCCCAAAACTAATCTTAGTTGGAAGAGAATTACTTTGCTCTTGACAGAACATGCTGAGTCAATCTACTTTAACTGCAGATTTGGTTTGCAAATAATATCTCCTTTCCTATAAGGTTCAGGTGTCATCGCTGTGGACACTGGCAGGAATTTGCTTGACCATGACAGCTTTTACAGAGCCTGGCAATTAAGTTGTCAAGATACATTTTCCACTGCCAGGAAGCATTAATGGATGCTGGTCTTGGCTGGAATAAGCCCAGATAGATGGATATTATAATCAAGATGAAAAGAGGTCCTTGTAGCTGAGGCTTGGATTGGTCCAAAGGTCTGGAGCCCTTGACATGTGATGGAACTGAGATAAGGGAAAGAGTAGGAAACGTGGGGTGGAACATCAGAGGGAAGGAATGAAATCAAGGTATATGAATAAGGAGATGAACTCTCATGTTCCTAGAGACTAAAGTAGCAGGAAAGGCTGGCATTTGGAGAGACTTCAGCTTTGCAGGTGCACACTGCAAACTACTAATAGTAGCAGAGTTCCTGGATATGAAAGTAAATATTTTTCCATTAGGCAATCCCCAAAATTGTATTGTTGCAGATTTGCTTTTCAAGTGAGAAAGATGTTGGAAATGTCCTTCTCTTAGAAAATAAAACTCTGATGATTCAACACGAGCTCGCTCTGTTTAAATTGTATCAAAAATAGATCTGCAAGTAAGGATTTTGATTACCAAGTACAGAATTTGAAAGATTAAAAGTTAACAAGAAATTTGGAGAATTTAGGATCCCAATTGAGAAGACTACAGTTGAGACCAATCCAAAGAACTGCCAAAAATCTCCTTACATAAAGGACAAAAGGAGTGTTCAGGACCAATCTAAGTTCCATTACCTTAATAGTGGGCAAACCTTAAGGAGATGTTTGAAGAAAACTAAAGATATAAAGCGTAAAGAGATAACGTACACAGTGAATTTTCAGGAAGGAAACCATGCGTGGGCTAATACCAATCTCTGCAAATTTGGCTGACTTCCTAGGTAAAGGAAGTACAGTACATCTAGTCTATGCAGACATTAAAGGCATTTGGCCTGCTGCCCTGTGGGATGGTGTCACTTAGACTTTGTGAGGTGGGTC